GTCTTTGAACCAATCGGCTGCCGGCAGGATGACCCTGTCCTATCAGGTGCATCTGTACAGTCTGATGCAGTCTTGTCCAACACCTGTACTGCAGCTGTTCATCACACACCTGAGGAGTCAGAATATTAGGAACACCTGAATATAACAGTCCACAGCAGCACTGAGGTGATTCAACACAACAGGTGGACCGGACCAGACAATGGACAAGTGTACCTGACAGGTGTACCAGACGGGTGCACCTGACAGGTGTACTGGACAGGTGGACACTTAGTGTGTATTTCATCTGGTTGTTGTGTCTGACTGCAGGTTGTTGTCATCAGTGTTTCCTGTGTGTGTGTGTCAACAGCTGCTTCTGGGTTATAATGAAATCAAAGTTGTCTAACTCCCTCTGTGTGTGTGTGTGTGTGTGTGTCTGTGTGTGTGTGTGTGTGTGTCTGTGTGTGTGTCTGTGTCTGTCTGTGTGTGTGTCTGTGTCTGTGTGTGTCTGTGTCTGTCTGTGTGTGTGTCTGTGTGTGTCTGTGTCTGTCTGTCTGTGTCTGTCTGTGTCTGTGTGTGTGTCTGTGTGTGTGTCTGTGTGTGTGTCTGTGTGTGTGTGTCTGTGTGTGTCTGTGTGTCTGTGTCTGTCTGTGTCTGTCTGTGTCTGTGTGTGTGTCTGTGTGTGTGTCTGTGTGTGTGTGTCTGTGTGTCTGTGTCTGTGTGTGTCTGTCTGTGTGTGTGTCTGTGTCTGTCTGTGTGTGTGTCTGTGTGTCTGTCTCTGTGTGTGTCTGTGTGTGTCTGTGTCTGTCTGTGTCTGTGTGTGTGTGTCTGTGTGTGTCTGTGTGTCTGTGTCTGTGTGTGTGTGTCTGTGTGTGTCTGTGTGTCTGTGTCCCCTCTCTGGTCTCAGGGTCGTCTTCAGTCTCCTCCATGGTGAGTTTCAGTCGGGGTTCAGAGGACGCTCCTGTTCCTCCTCCTGTTCCTCCTCGCAGACGACCAGAGTCGGCTCCTGCTGAGTCCTCCCCCTCCAAGGTACCTGACCTGGTTCTTTCTTGATCCTCAAGACCAGAGTCTACAGAGTCCGGCTCTGATCTACCTTTACCTGTGGGAGCAGCTCTGAAGACTCGCTGGGGGGGTTGGTGGCTGCATCAACAGAAAGTCCAAAGACTGTGGGGGGGGGGGGGGGGTTCAAACCCCCAACCACTAGATGGCAGTGATGTAATTTTCCACTGCAATGTAAACTGAGACAGGAAGTAGTCTATGGCTAACGTTAGCATTAGCAAACCTAGCTGACTGGTAACATTACCGCAGATGGCTGAACCAGGAAGAGTTAAGAGTTAGAACGGTTCCTCTGGTTCCTGGACTCTAGTTGTTCAGGTTGAATAACCCTAATTGCATGTTTACTTTGCATGTATTAATTATTACTAACCTTGTCGTGTTTTATTTTATCCTAGTGATTATATGATTTAATAGCGGTATCTCTATGTTTTATATTTATTTTTAAGATTCTATCAAATTATTTATAATTCTATTTATTAATTGATTTCTTTTACATATTCTATTAACTTTGTTCTTATTGGAGAAATTGTCATTTTAACATATTTTATCCCTTTTTATCCAACAGTTGGGAGAGTAAATGGCAGTCAGGAGAATTTTATAATAATTAAAACTCCCGCTGCCTCCCTGTGTTGTAGGTCCATTCCCTGTCTTTTTATTTAAATTTCTTTTATTCTTTTATTAGTCTTTTATTTTATTATACATTTTTTCATTTTATTTATTTATGGATATTTTTAACCATTTATAAATTGTTTTAATAAAGAAAATCCCAAAGTGTTTTTTAACATCCATAATAACCTTGTGCCGGAGCCCCTCATAACACTCTTCAGTGTTACGTTTTAACCCCAACCTAACCCTGTTGAACTGGTCTCTGATCAGATGTTGTGTTTCCTATCTCTGTCCTCCACACTGACGCTCTCTCTCTCTCTCTCTCTGCCCCCCCCCTCCCTAAGATGATGTCGAAGTTGGATAGCCCCCCTGCTGTCCCCCCTCGTCAGCCTACCTGTAAGCTCTTCCCCCCTCGTTACTCTTCGTCGTTGTCATCGTCGTCTCCCCCTGACAGCCCCCCCTTGCTGCCCCCCCGGGAGCCCCTGAGTTCTCCTCTGCACCTCCTCCCCCCTCCTCAGGGTCGCCCCCGCTGTGATCTGCTGCCTCAGGCCTTCTTCCCCTCCACAACCTCCACCTCACCCTCCATCACCTCCATCTCCACCACCTCCTCGCCCCCCCTTCCTCCCCCCACTCCCATGACCCCCAGCCCTTCCCCTGCCTCGAGGAAGATGCCCCTCCCCTCACCCCCGCACCGCTCCTCTTCCACTGTCGCCCCTCGCCGGATGGATAGGCCCCCCTGTGCCCCCTCGACACGGTGTCCCCAAACTCCCCCCCAAGACCTACAAGAGGGAGTCTCTGAGCCATGCCCCCCTGCTGGACACCCCCCCTGCACTGTGATTGGACAGCCTGTACTTCCTGAAGGGGGCGGAGCAGCTGGTTCAACAGCCTGTTAAGAAGGGGAGCTAACACTACAGCTGATTGGATCAGAAGAGACGATGGATTTTAAAAAAAAAACATCAGATTGACCAATCAGGACACTCTGATCCGATCTAGACTGACAAAATAAAATACAGATCATGTGCCCTTATTCTGAAAAACTGACTGTGGCCTCCAGCAGAACGTCTAGAGAAAATTCGTCTTTCTGTGGTCAGATTTTCATTTGTGTTTCTCGTCTGTGAGCTGAGTCCTGATGAGTCCTCATCGGATCTCCTCATGTTGAACAGAGACTTGTGGATAATGTATTACTCCATTGACTGAGGTGGAAGTGTTGATGTGTCTGGAGCCTTCAGGTACTGGACCAGAACCACGGAGGTACTGTAATGGTTCTGGTGGACCTGTTTGTCTCTGATTGTTGATAATGTAACAAACGTGATGATTGGTTCTTTAAAACAAGGGAATAAACGTGTTTCTACCACTGAGCTGGACGGACGACACAACACGCACCACTGTCTTTATTTGATCTACTGAAGGTCTACCAAGTCTGCTTCACTCCAGTTTCCATAGTAACTGAGGTTGGATTGATTTTAAATCTCTTCTATGAAACCAAATTAACTGAAAAGAAACCTGGCCACATTGAGTGACGACATGAAAAAATAAACGTTATTCAGCAAATTAGACTTTTATTTTGTAAATATCAGTGAAACAGGAGGTGAGAGATAAAAGGATTTTCAGTTTTACAGCCTCTGAACAAACTGAGGATCGACAGGAAGTGGACTCCCCGTGACGTCAGTGTCTCGGTCTTTGCTCCATGTCTGATCCTGGTCCGTCAGAATCCCAGAATATTCATCTGGATCTGAATCTGTAGTTTTGTCTGTCTTCACTTTTATTTTTATTCTGTTCATTTCATCTGTCCGAGGATCAATACCTGTCAGCTGATCTGGTTTTAACTGGATCAGATTCTGGATCAGTCTCTGGATATAGTCCAGGGTGATCTGGTTTTAACTGGATCAGTTTCTGAATGCGGTCCAGGATGATCTGGTTGGAGCTGTAGCAGTCTTCAGGTCCATATGGGGCCCTGATGGTCAGGACCCCCGCCACCCTCAGCTCGTCCCCTTCCTCCTCCACAGGGACCCGGTTCTTCTCAAGCCAGCTCCGGACCCCCCCCCCCTTCCTTCTCAGCTCCTCTGGGTTCAGGCTGCAGGTCCTCGGGGGGAGGAAGGAGGTCCGGAGACGGTCTGAGGTCTCCTCATCGGCCTCCTGCAGGACCTGCACGTCCTCTACAGCGTGACCCATCACCACCTGCACAGACGTCCCCCCGTCCTCCCTGAAGTCCACCAGGACCATACTGCAGAGGGGACAGGACCACAGAGTCAGAAAGGGGCAGACCAGATCCAGATCAGTCCTGGATCGGAGTCATGTTACACTTGGGATTCAAGATCAGGGCTGACAGGTCTTTGAGGATTCAATGAAATCCTTCAGAACAGGGACTTTAGAGCTCGTGCTGAACCCTGCTGAGCTCTGAGAGGGATCCAGGACTGATATGGATCTGCCTATAGACTTAAATCAAGCAGGTTCAGTTCTCACATACTGCAAAGACTCAGCTGTCTTATCAAAATAAAGTTACGCAGCATGAAGTCCCTTCAGAATAAAAGCTATCCTTCATTGTTGAGATACTACAGTTTCTTGATTATGGATAATTTATGGATTATAAATCAGTTTGGGGATGAGTACAGTGAAGAGATGTGACACAGGTGAACCTGACTCACCTGTGTGAGTGTTACCTGTGTTGTCTGAGGGTGTGAGAGTTATCGATTACCTGGCGGACACCGGGTCCACGGTGAGCAGCCAGCCACGGTGCTCTTCATCTTTTCCCGCCATCACCTTTACCTGTTTGTTGACGTAACGGATCCAATGCAGCGGACCTAACAGAGACCAGCCGCACTGCATGACGGCCCTCAGTTATCAATATGAAAACAATAATCAATACACTTTAGGAGACACGGTCCTTTGCTGCTTCACGAGCCTCGAAAGCCTCCGGAGGAAACACCAAACCGACACAGGGTTCCACCTCCGCTTTATTGTCCAAGTAGAGCCGCTGCTGCCCCCTTCTGGAGCGGGGCCGTGGGGGTGGGGTCAAACAAAATCCTCACAACGATATCTAATTCGAATAATAAATGTAATGAAATTTACATTTAAATAAATACTAAATGCATAAAGACCCTAAAAATAAAACGAATAAATCTACAGGCATACACATTCATTCTAACTCAAATCTCAGCAGCAAAAGAAGAAACAAACGGTCAAGTTACCAAGAAACACATAAGACAGAGAAATACAGTGAACCGGTAAAACACAACAACAATAAACAATTAATAGATTACACAGTAAATATAAATGCGAACAAATAAATGACAAACAGCCACAACATATCAAAGGACATTACTACGTTTTTTATCGTCCAAAAAATAATAACACCACAGCAACAAAGCTTCAATTTTGAAATTCTGACAGGAAGTAGTTTGTGTTTTTGTATTGTCGTCGCAGATTTGACGTCCTCCGCAGTCAATAAAGCGCAGCTAGCAACTAAACTGTCTCGCATCGACCCCGCATAGAGAGCGGACTCTGCGGGGCTGCGGAGCCGCCGTGAACATGTCCAGACACGGTCGGTACGGAGGAGGTAACCCGCCCTGTGTTCTCTTGTGTCGGTACCGGAGCTCTTCTTGTCCGGTACGGGATAATATCCGGTGTGTCCGGTTAGCAGCAGTTGGCATCATTAGCGGGAAGAGCGGGATTTAGGCTTTAATATTTAGTAACTGACAAGATTATTAAAAACATAAATATTGATATTATTACCAGTATTACAGATAATGCCTCAGTCTACGGGGAGTCACAGGGACGTTTGACTGCAGCGAGTACCTTTACTTTTCCTGAGTGTACTTCACATACTGTTGAATGCAGTATTGTAGTATTCTGTGCAGTTTCTTTTACAGTGAAACTGATTAAAGGTCAGAGTCACGTGTCCACATGAACACGTTAACAGGTTATCCTCCTGTTCTGGACCTGAACAGGTGATCATCATGATCAAGTCCACAGTCCTGGTTCTGAGTGAAATCTTCTCAGATCTGGATTTACATTTACTACATTTTACTGTAGAATAATATATTTATATCTTATTTTAAAATCACGTGGAGGATCATTTATATGCAGAATGTGTAAGAAGAAGATGACAAGTATTAAGTTGTTACTATGGCTACTATGGGTTGATTACTTGAAGCCAACAGGCTTTAACATCAGCAAGATTTTGAATGGAGTTTGATTTAGATGAGAGTCAGACACAGTATAATTACTTTAATTTATTCATGTTTCACTATATTTACATATGAGCGGAGCAGTCTTCTGATTGGCTGTTCACATTGTACATGTTTGTCTAGTGTATTATCTGTGTGTTTCCCATCTGTCCTGACCCTTGAGCCTTAACTTGTCGTTGTGTGTGTCCTGTACAGAAACAAAGGTGTATGTGGGGAACCTGGGGATGGGGGCGGGGAAAGGTGAGCTGGAGCGGGCCTTTGGGTACTACGGGCCCCTCAGGACCGTCTGGATCGCCAGGAACCCTCCGGGCTTCGCCTTTGTGGAGTTTGAAGACCCTCGAGACGCTGACGATGCTGTGCGAGGGTTAGACGGAAAGTCAGTACTTTACATCAAAATCACCAGCACAACTAGGGAATTGATAAGATTTTAGATTCTTGTGAATGGAGAGATGCCCAGTGTAACCTCAGTCCTTACAGTGTGATTCATTATGGGTCGTTTGTGCACAGAACATTTGATATTGTTCGTATTGTTTCCTTTGGCCATATTAATATTAACACATGTTTATATCAAGATAAGGACATGATAACGATATATACATATATACATCTATACATCTTGTCTGACAGTGATTTATTTCAGGGTGGTTTGTGGGAGTCGGGTCCGGGTCGAACTCTCCACCGGGACACCTCGTCGCTCTCGGTACGACCGACCTTTGACACGTCGACCATTTGACCCCAACGATAAGTGTTATGAGTGTGGAGAGAAAGGTCACTATGCCTACGACTGTCACCGCTACAGCCGCCGGAGGAGCAGGTAACCATGGTGACCACCACACCTGCTGACACTTGACAATATAATCTGCTGTTTGAATCCAGTTTCCTGAGCAGCTGAGCCTCAGTCACTGAAACACACAGACACAAGTTTAATGTTAAACTGAACCAATGGGTATGTACTGCTGGTTCCACACGGACACAGTTACCTGAGCTGTACACACTGTATATATGTATATGCTTGTATGTATATATATATATATATATATATATATGTGTGTGTGTGTGTCTGTGTATGTATACAGTGCTGCTTGAAAGTATGTGAACCTTCCAGACATGGTCACTGTTTTTGTAAAAAACATTAAAAGAACCTTATTTAACAGACATCCAAATCCTAATTTGTAAAGCACACTTTCCAAATACTGGACACACACACAAAAAGAGATATTTTTCCATTATGTAGTTCAACAAATGTGGTTTATTTCACAAACACTGAAAATGTAACATGTGCAAAAGTATGTGAACCCTTCCATTAGTAGCTTGTGGCTCCTCCTTTTGCAGCCATTACTTCAACCAAACGTCTTCTGTAACCTCTAACCAGTCTCTCGCATCTGCTCATGGGGATTTTTGCCCACTCCTCCTTGCAGAACTCAGCCAGTTGAGAGAGGTTGGAAGGACATCTGGCATGTACCATCTTCTTCAGGTCTCGCCACAACATTTCAATAGGATTTAGATCTGGACTTTGACTGGGCCAATCCAGAGTACGAATCCTCTTTCTCTGAAGCCATTCCTTTGTAGTTTTGCTGGAATGCTTCGGGTCATTGTCTTGTTGCATAATCCATTTTCGTCCCAGCTTCAACTGTTTGACTGATGGCAGGAGATTCTGGTCAAGAATTTGTTGATATGCCTGAGAATTCATGGTTCCCTGGATAATATGGAGTCGCCCAGTTCCAGAAGCAGAGAAGCAGCCCCAGATCTTCACATTTCCACCACCATGCTTCACTGTAGGGAGGAGGTTCTTTTCTTCATTTGCAGTGTTGGCTTTTCTCCAAACATGGCGGTTTTGATTGTGACCAAATAACTCTACTTTAGATTCATCTGTCCAGAGAATGGACTCCCAGAAGGCCTCTGGTTTGTCTAAGTGCTCTTTGGCAAAGTTGAAACGGGCAGCTTTGTTCTTTTTTGAGAGCAGAGGCTTCCTTCTAGCAACCCTCCCATGAATGCCATGGCTATTCAATTTTCGTCTGATCGTAGACGCATGCACATTTGTCCCAGATGCTACCAGAGAGGTCTGCAACTCTGTAGAGGTGATGTGTGGGTTGGCCTTTACCTGATTTATTATTTTTCTGGTGGCTCTGGGTGATAGTTTTGATGGGCGCCCACTTCTAGGCAGAGTTGCTGTCATGTTGAAGGCCCTCCATTTGTAAATTATTTGTCTTACAGTCGATGGATTGAGCTGGAATCTTTTGGAGATGGTCTTATATCCCTCCCCAGACTGATGGGCTGTCACTACCCTCTTCTTCATGTCCTCGGATATCTCCTTTCCTCTTGGCATTGTTGATGTGTATGGGACCAAGTTGGTTTGGTTGGTTTCCTCTCTCTTTTAATTAGTGCAGGCCAATCCCTTTCCCAAGGATGTCTCATTTCATTGGTCTACTGAAATGATTAATTAAGCACTCAAATGTATTTCACCTGAGTCTGTTACCTGCTTGACTTAACCAATGCAGCTGGGGATTCACTTACTTTTGCACATGCACTAATTCCATGTTTCATGTAGTTTTTGGGCTACTTAAACAAGTTCCACTAAAAAAGTACAAGCAATTGATGAAACATATATCTGACATTTCATACATAAAAACTGGTGATGATAAAATAAGAAAATCATGGTAAACAACAGAAACATCTGAACTGCTCAAGGGGTTCACATACTTTCAAGCAGCACTGTATGTATATATATGTATGTGTATGTATACATACACACCTGAAGTGTATTTATTGACCCTTTGTTTATCCTAAATAACTTAACCTTCCTTAACTAACAGACAAGTGGAGACAGTCGGGGTGTGCATGAGAGCATCCACATGTCTGGATGGGGCTAACTGGCAAATCACAACATGTAATCCACCCCCCACCCCCACCACCACAAATACAATCTAACACTGTTGCACACCAAGCTGAGACAGATGATCCAGGGACCTGATTCATTTCTTATTATTGATTATTTCTGATTGGTCAGGAACTATTGGGGTGGAGTTAACAGACTTCTAACTAGAATTCTAACTTTAGTTTGAAATTAAATATTGATTCTTTTGTAGTCTGTTTGTCAGCTGACTGCGGCTCAGCTGATGTTCTCATGTTTTTATCTCGGATATTACAGAAATATTTTCTGCAGCTGTCAGACCTGAGTCCAACAGGAGGGTTTGATTTAAAGCACAGTGTCCGAGCTGGACGGGGTTTATCTCAACTCATTACGTCACTGTAGCTGAAGGATGTTATTTGAGATCACACACAGCTCCTCCTGATTCAAGTCACATGATCCAGGATCTGCTCCACAGATAGGTTTAACAAAGTCTGACTGACCCTGAACTCTGGAAACTCAAGAGTTTTCTTTTCAGGCAACAGGTAAATAAAGATTCACCATGGAAACAGATCCCTCATATCTGATGTGGTCTGGCGACAGAGAAACTCAGAAGAAGAAAAGTCACAGTTACTGACTCAGTGTCAGTTTCTCTGTTGTTAATAGTTAGGGTGTAGTCATGTTAAACAGGTTAGGGTGTAGTCATGTTAAACAGGTTAGGGTGTAGTCATGTTAGGGTGTAGTCATGTTAAACAGGTTAGGGTGTAGTCATGTTAGGGTGTAGTCATGTTAAACAGGTTAGGGTGTAGTCATGTTAGGGTGTAGTCATGTTAAACAGGTTAGGGTGTAGTCATGTTAGGGTGTAGTCATGTTAGGGTGTAGTCATGTTAAACAGGTTAGGGTGTAGTCATGTTAGGGTGTAGTCATGTTGAACAGGTTAGGGTGTAGTCATGTTAAACATGTTAGGGTGTAGTCATGTTAGGCTGTAGTCATGTTAAACATGTTAGGGTGTAGTCATGTTAGGGTGTAGTCATGTTAAACAGGTTAGGGTGTAGTCATGTTAGGGTGTAGTCATGTTAAACAGGTTAGGGTGTAGTCATGTTAGGGTGTAGTCATGTTAAACAGGTTAGGGTGTAGTCATGTTAGGATGTAGTCATGTTAAACAGGTTAGGGTGTAGTCATGTTAAACATGTTAGGGTGTAGTCATGTTAGGGTGTAGTCATGTTAAACATGTTAGGGTGTAGTCATGTTAGGATGTAGTCATGTTAAACAGGTTAGGGTGTAGTCATGTTAAACAGGTTAGGGTGTAGTCATGTTAAACAGGTTAGGGTGTAGTCATGTTAGGGTGTAGTCATGTTAAACATGTTAGGGTGTAGTCATGTTAGGGTGTAGTCATGTTAAACAGGTTAGGGTGTAGTCATGTTAAACAGGTTAGGGTGTAGTCATGTTAGGGTGTAGTCATGTTGAACAGGTTAGGGGGTAGTCATGTTAGGGTGTAGTCATGTTAAACATGTTAGGGTGTAGTCATGTTAGGGTGTAGTCATGTTAAACATGTTAGGGTGTAGTCATTTTAGGGTGTAGTCATGTTAGACAGGTTAGGGTGTAGTCATGTTAGGGTGTAGTCATGTTAAACATGTTAGGGTGTAGTCATGTTAGGGTGTAGTCATGTTAAACAGGTTAGGGTGTAGTCATGTTAGGGTGTAGTCATGTTGAACAGGTCGAGGAGCTGAAAACTGACCCTTAGTTTTATGTTGTGGGGACCTGACCTTTGTGAGGACCTGACCCTCAGGTTGGGAACGACTGGTTAAAATTATTGTTGCGCGACAACAAACCAAGTTTTTAATTTGACTTCTGACTGGAGATAAACTCCACCCTCCTCCTGGTCTCTGGGCAGACCTGGTTCCTGGTGGGTCCAGGTCTACAAACTGTTGTTGATCTGTGTGACTCTAACTGCTGTTTAACTGAAACTGGTCAAAACCTTTCAGGTTTCATCGTTTGATTCAGATCCTAAAAGATTTCATGAGGGCGTCTTGACTAAAGTTTTTCTGCCGAGCTGAGGCTGAACTGATCTGGTTTAGAGGCTCAGAGACAGACCAGCACCGCCCTGTTAATTAACAGTAATGTAACGAGGAAACGAGCCGCTGGACCGCGGTCCCTTCTAGACAAACCCGCCTCGCTTCTATCAAGTCTCAATCAAGCAATTTGGTGTCAGTACGGTCATCGTTAGAAATCTTCTAGATCATCTAGATCTGCTAGACCTGGTCCAAAGAGGACCGACCTGCAAAAGGTTTATTTCATCACCATTAATGCTTTTACTCATTAAGTCCAATGTTTGTGTGTTTGAGTCTCAGACTTCTGCATGAGTTTCAGCAGCTGTAGGTTACAGTCTCTCTCTGGTCCCCTCTCACTGCTGCTCTCCGGGTCTGCTTTGGGTCCAGGTCCAGGTCTCGCTTCACGTCCCGTGGGAGGCGTTACTCCCGCAGCAGGAGCCGAGGGAGGAGGTGAGTGAAGTGCTGATCAATCCATCAGGGATCTGAGTCCAGACTCTGGACCAGATCTGAAGAGATGAGAGATGATGATGATGATGATGATAATGTAGTAATAATAATAATAATAATAATAATAATGATGATGATAAGACGAAGTGTGGATAGTTTTTACTTGTTGATGACGTCATCATGTCCAGGTCCAGGTCTTTCTGTCCTCGTCGCTCCCACTCAGTCTCTCCCAGAAGATCCGGATCTGCCACACCTAGGAGGTCCAGGTCAGACTCTGTCAGACTGATGATGTCATCACTGTCAACAGGAAGCTGTAAACCAGCTTTAACATTTAGATGTCTCTGGCTTGGTTAATGTTCTCCTCCAGGACCAGATCAAGGACCCGGTGCAGGTCCAAGTCCAGGTCCAGGTCGGGTTCTCGAGGCCGGAGCAGGTGGGTGATATCAGATGTGTCCTGTCCAAAACTGACTGAATGGTCTTTTCTCTTTTTCACAGTAAAAGTCTTGCTTTGATCCCTGAGTGGGGACTTTCATAATAAAGGTCCTGTTTTAATGAAATTGCTTTTGATAATGAGAATAAATGTATGATCAGCTGTGGTCATGTGACACGTCTGTTGATGGAGAACTGATACCTGGGATTGATCAGGAACCTGCAGTGACTCCAGCTAAAGACTTTAGATCAGGATCTGCCTTCAGTCACAGATCAGGGAAAAGTCCGCTGACGACACCTTCCAGCTCTGCACTGGTCACAGGTGGTTGTTGTCTCAGAGTCCAGGTGTCCAGTGGTAGTTCAGTGTTAAACTGTCTCACATTGTGGACTCCTGTGTTCTCAGGTCTGGATCCATGGGTCAGTCTTGCTCTGGATCTCCAGCTAGAACGTGAGTGGGCAGGTTCTGGTTTAGTTCTGGATCAGTTCTGGTTTGATCTGGTTCCTTCAGATCCAGATCCAAGCAGACCTGTAACATTTATATGTAATAATAATATATAAATAATGTAAAATATATAATGTATTTATGTATAATGAAATAACATATATAACATAAATACATAATATATTTCTCTATATAATTAATAATATATAATGTATGTAATTAAGGTACAAGTAATCTGTGTAATCAGTGTTAATGATTACTTGTACATTTTCCACCCCCCCACCCCACCCCCACCTTCTGTGTACCTGATAGTTGCTCGACCTCAGGGAGTCCTGCTGCAGACTGATGATCAGCTGAATGTTTTTCTGTTTTTCTGTCTGTGAATTGATTTGATTGTTATGAGTTTTTCTATGAGCAGACTGTGGTCTACCTTCAGATTATTGAATATTGATGATTGATTATTGTTGTTCTAGTCTGCCTGAGAACCTGTAGAGTTTATGATATGAGGAGCTGAGTGTATGTGTCAATGATCATCTGAAAACAATAAAGATTTATACACGGACCCAAGAGTCTGTGTCTGTTGATTGGCTGATGGGCTGGAGTGGGCGGGGCTTCACACTGTGTATAAACATGTAGTCTCTGATCCTGTGGCTTTGATTTAATGCAGTCAATAACATCTGTTCCTGAATTGGGGTGGGGTGGGGGGGGGGTGTAACAGTAATATACACAGGTGTAATAATGGTGTTATTGACAACAATAGCATCAAACAAACACTCACACATACACACACTTACACACATCAGAGCATTAGGTTCACATAGAAATGTGTGAGTGTGTGTGACCTGTAAACACGCCACCTCTCCGTGGGCCCTGCCCCCTGTGATGACATCACCACAGCAGCAGCTCAGACGAAGGTTTAAACCTGCAGAAAAGTTTCACATCCTCACAGAGACTGAAGAAGAAGAAGAAAATGGCAGATTCAACCAGCAGCAGCTCTGACTCTTCATCATCATCATCATCCAACAACTCCTCCTCTTCCTCACTCAGAGACCTCACACACTCAGGTAACTGATCCTGAATCAGTTGTTACTCTCAGGTTAAAGTAGGAAGCTCATGTGATACTGTCAAAAGCTCCAAAGCAGTTGCTAAATGGATCAAACAGAAATCTGAACAATTTGTTGTGTTTTCAACCACGTCATGGTCTTCAATCAGTGGAAGTTTAGTTGTCACGGATACTGCTGAATCCAGATCAGTATTTACCGCTGCAGGTGATTGATTATTGATAACTAGATTAATCAGCTGCTCAGTGAGGTCAACTGCTGATTGGCTGAAGTGAAGGTGGATGTTTAACCTGCTAATTAACATGTTATTTAGCCTCCAGCAGGTAGGTGTTTAATTTGACCCAGTTGCTTTACCTGCTGGTTAGTAAAAGTAGTTACCTCCTCTGTTAGTAAATGTTTGCAGGTTAGTTAGCAGATTAATGAAGCTGTGTTCACAGATAAAGCTGTATTGTTCTGCTGTCAGCTGACTAGTTTTTCCTTAACAAGCTGCTTACTGGTGGTGGTGGAGGGAGGGGGGGAAATGGCAGGGGGACTAAGCAGCTTAGCGTCAAGAAAAGTGAAAGAAAGGACAAAGAACAGAGCAAGGGTGTAGCTTTGGTCTCGACATTGGTAGGGACACAACAACCCCACCACCCCTCCAAAAGAAAGACTGACTTTTTAATGCTGTCAACTGAACAGTTTATTAACATATGAAATCTGAATTTACATTCAGAAATCACCATACACAAATGTAATATATGTACATGTGATGAATTTGTATATATGAAATATATGTACATATGAAGTAAAATCATATATGTATTTAAGAACATGAAACTCCACACACAAAGGTTGCAGGCCCAGCATTCGAACCCAGTACTATCTCAGTGTGAGGCAAATGTTCTAAGAACTGCACCACCATGCCCGCCAAAAACAAATTCATATTATAGTGAGGCATGCAAACATCATAGTGTGATAAGGTATGAAAATATATGGTATATTAAGGAATAAAAATGTCATAGTATAGTAAGGCATTAAAGGTCATAAAAAGTCATGTAAATGTAACTGTATAAAAAGTCATACAATCATCATAGTATAGTGAGGAATAAAAAATCATGAAAAATCATGAAAAAGAAATTGTATAAAAAGTCATGAAATCTTCAAAGTATAGGAGGCCAGAAAAAGCCACAAAAGCATCATAGTATCATAAGTCATAAAAAGTCATGTAAATGAAACTCTATAAAAAGTCATGCAATCATCATAGTATAGTAAGACATAAAGAGACAGAAATTACTGTATATAAAGGGTCATAAAATTGTCATGATACAGTAAGGCATGTGAAGTCATAAAACCATAGTGGTATGGTAAGGCATAAAAGTCATAAAAAGTCATGAAAGTGAATTAGAAAAAAAGTCATAAAAAAGGCATAGTATTGTAAGGCATGGAAACTCATTCGTTGTATAAAAAGTAATAAAATAGTATTAGTATTGTAATAAATGAAAAGTAATAAAAATGTAACTGTACAATAACTCACAAAAAGTCATGAAAATGAAACTATAAAAAGTCATATAATCATCATTGTAAATTAAGGTATAAAAAGTCATGAAACGTCATAGTATAGTGTCACGGACCAAGCAGTTAGACAAAGGACACCGGTGTAAAAAGGAAAATATTTAATTAAATATACCAAAAATCCAAAAAAAGTTACAAAAGTAATAATCAAATAACTGGAAAAAGAACAAAAGTTGGGCCCAAAAATCCGAGGTCAAATAAACAATAATGAAACTAAGGCTTCAACCTAAATCAACACAATCAAAAACTGACCTCTCTAACAAATGAAACCAGGTTATATATACACATGGACTAGTCCAACACAAACCCAAAAAGGGGACAGTAACTAACAATTATCCTATCAAATCATTTTCAAATAACTAAACATAAGAAGTTAACTGAAGCCTATCTACCAAAAAAATAAATAATATTTCAGAAATAAATAGTCCATTCACAAATCAAAAAAAGAACTTTAGGCTCTGGTGATTCAGCCTTCCCCTTTTCCCTTCTTCAAGATGGCTGCTTCCCACTTCCTGTGGGCGGTCCATAAGAGGCTCCCTTTCCCCCGCTACTGGCCTTTTGCCAGAGGAACTCAGGAGGAGAACAAAGAAAAAGTAATTATTCACAACAAAATGAATGTTGTGTAAACCCAAACTAGAAAACAAAACTGTCTAATGAAATAAAGTGTAATATATGAACACAAAAGACTATGTGTAATGTATTTATTTGAAAATGTTTGTGTAAAGAAAAAGTAAACAAAATTACTAACACTGGTGGTGGACAACAACTGATGCGGCCACCACATATAGTAAGTCATAAAAAGTCATGTAAATGAAATCGTATAATAAGTCATAAAAATATCATAGTATAGCTAAGCATTAAAAGTCATTTGAATAAAATTTTATACAAAGCAATTAAATCGTCATAGTATAGTAAGGCATGAAAAGTAATGAAAACATTATAGTAAGTCATGAAAAGTCATAAAAATGTCATTGTATAGTAAGGCATAAAAAGTGAGAAAGATGTCATAATATATTAAGGCATGAAAAAAAACAAAAAAAGTCATATTATAGTAAGGCATGAAAAGTGAAAAAAACGTCATAGTATAGAAAGGCATAAAAGGTCATATTATAGTAAGGCACAAAAAGTCATAATATAATAAGGCATAAAAAGTCAAAAAACGACATAGTATACTAAGGGATAAATAGTGAAAAAGATGTCATTGTATAGTAAGGCATAAAAATTCATAAAAAAGGCCACAGTATAGTAAGGCATAAAGAGTCATGTTATATTAAGTCATAAAAACGACATAGTATAGTAAGGCATAGAAAGTAATAAAAACGACATAGGATAGTAAGGCATTAAAAATCATAGTATAGTAAGGCATAAAAAGTGAAAAAGACGTCATAGTATAGTGAGGCATAAAAAATCATATAAACGACATAGTATAGTAGGGCATTTAAAGTGTTAGTATAATAAGGCATAAAAAGTCATAAAAATGACATACTATAGTAGGGCATATGAAGTGTTAGTATAAAAAGTCATAAAAATGACATACTATAGTAGGGCATATAAAGTGTTAGTATAATAAGGCATAAAAAGTTATAAAAACGACATAGTATAGTAAGGCATGAAAAGTGAAAAAAAAGGTCATATTATAATAAGGCATAAAAAGTGAAAAAAACTCCATAGTATAGTAAGGCCTTAAAAATAAAAAAAAACGTCATGGTATAATAAGGCACAAAAGGTCATATTACAGTAAGGCACAAAAAGTCATAAAAACGATATAGTATAGTAAGGCATAAAAAGTCATGTTATATTAAGGCATAAAAAATCATAGCATAGTAAGGCATAAAAAATCATAAAAACAACATAGTATAGGAAGACATAAAAAGTCATATTATAGTAAGGCATAAAAAGTCATAAAAAAGTCATAGTATAGTAAGGCATAAAAAATCATAGTATAGTAAGGCATAAAAAGTGAAAAAGACATCATAGTATAGTGAGGCATAAAAAGTCATAGTATAGTAAGGCATAGAAAGTCATAAAAACGACATAGTATAGTAAGGCATAAAAAATCAAAGTATAGTAAGGCATAAAAAGTCATATTATAGTAAGGCATAAAAAGTGAAAAAGACATCATATTATAGTAAGTAATGAAAAAGATGTCATAGTATAGTAAGGCATAAAAAATCATAGTATAGTAAGGCATAAAAAGTGAAAAAGACGTCATAGTATAGTGAGGCATAAAAATTCATAAAAACTACATAGTATAATAGGGCATATAAAGTGTTAGTATAGTAAGGCATAAAAAGTCATAAAAACGCCATAGTATAGTAAGGCATAAAAAGTGAAAAAAACGTCATAGCATATTAAGGCATCAATAATATAATAAGACATAGAAAGTCATAAAAACGACATAGTATAGTAAGGCATAAAAAATCATAGTATAGTAAGACATGAAAAGTGAAAAAAAACTTCATAGTATAGTAAGGCATAAAAATTGAAAAAAACGTCATATTATAGTAAGTAATAAAAATTGAAAAAGACGTCATAGCATAGTATAGGATAAAATGTGAAAAAAAAGTCATAACACAGTAAGGGATAAAAAGTAAAAAAAAAAGTCATTGTATAGTAAGGCATGAAAAGTGAAAAAACTTCATAGTATAGTAAGGCATAAAAAGAGAAAAAAACTTCATAGTTTAGGAATGCATAAAAAGTCATAGTATAGTAAGGCATAAAAATTGAAAAAAACATCATATTATAGTAAGTAATAAAAAGTGAAAAAGATGTCATAGTATAGCAAGGCATAAAAAGTCATAAAAACGACATAGTATAGTAAGGCATAAAAAAATCATAGTATAGTAAGGCATAAAAAGTGAAAAAGAGGTAATAGTATAGTGAGGCATAAAAAGTCATAAAAACGACATAGTATAATAGGGCATATAAAGTGTTAGTATAGTAAGGCATAAAAATTCATAAAAAACGCCATAGTATACCAAGGCACAAAAAGTCATAAAAACGACATAGTATAGTAAGGCAGAAAAAGTCATGTTATATTAAGGCATAAAAAGTCATATTATAGTAAGGCATAAAAAGTCATAAAAAAGTCATAGTATACCAAGGCATAGAAAGTAAAAAAAAAGACATAGGATAGTAAGGCATAAAAAATCATAGTATAGTAAGGCATAAAAAGTGAAAAAGACGTCAGAGTATAGTGAGGCATAAAAAGTAATAAAAACGACATAGTATAGTAAGGCATAAAAAATCATAGTATAGTAAGGCATAAAAAGTGAAAAAGATGTCATAGTATAGTGAGGCATGAAAAGTCATAGTATAGTAAGGCATAGAAAGTCATAAAAACGACATAGTATAGTAAGGCATAAAAAGTCATAAAAACGACATAGTATAGTAAGGCATAAAAAGTCATAAAAACGACATAGTAATGTAAGTCATAAAAAGTGAAAAACGTC